AAGACAATGGAACATTATTTCAACCAAATTTTAACACTTTATTCTCCAAAAACTTATTTGAAACCTTAAAAGTAGACATTTTACTTAGATTTAATGTGCTTTCAATGGACATAAAATCACTTTTGTACATTTATTTTGATGCGGACATCTTAACATGCGGAACAGGGCAGTAAAATAAAGTGCTACCTCTGATTTATTAATATATGTCCAAACAAATTATGCTTTTGATTATGAGGGCACATGAATTATAAAAAAAAAAAAGATGTGCACAAATAATTAATTTATAATCAACATTATAACATTCCATTTAAAAAAAATTATTCCATGGTGAATTTATAAAGAAAACACAGGCTCAGTCTTGACAGAATTTGACTTAAATTGTGAGAAAAGTTTATTATAATAATTTAATTTTTGCAATTGGCTGTTTGCATTACTTTTTGTGTTTTTAAGTGCATGAGATAAAAGAGCACTGCATACACATCTTGCATGTATACACACGTATTATATTTGCGCATTAATTATTTGTGGGCTTTCCGTTGTTTCTAGAGCGAGAGAGTGAAACTGTGTCTGTGGTACAACTAATGTGAGAAAAGCTCATCTCTGACGGATTGCTTCGTTTGCTTTAGCGGTTCACAGATAAAAAGCTGGACTGTTCCCCAGATTACAACAAGCCAGCCGGTCATCATGTGACCGTTCCCGCAGTGAGCAGGGTCCCGGGAACCCATGCTTTCCATTCAAAAGCTTCCACGCAACTAATACTCATGAACAGGCCTTCATGCGCAGTCAGAAAAGCTCATATTTATCTTCATAACTCACCGAGCCACGGCCTTGTGCTTCTCCACAATCTGAACTCTTAAACTTTCATGACCGGGAACGTCGATAAGAGTCCAGCTGCCACCCTGCAATATCAAAAACATCCAGTGTGTTATTTAGCCAATTAAATCTTATGTTTAAAATCCACTCAGGTGCCGTCAGTAAGAATTTTTTACTCATTTAAAACTCAATCAAATTTAATATGCTCCCTTATTCTTTTATATATTTTGATATGTACACATCAGAATAAGCATGTTGTTTGAATTTTTACGTAAATATTGTGTTACGCTTAAAGACAATGGAACATTATTTCAACCAAATTTTAACACTTTATTCTCCAAAAACTTATTTGAAACCTTAAAACCAGACATTTGACTTAGATTTAATGTGCTTTCAATGGACATAAAATCACTTTTGTACATTTATTTTGATGCGGACATCTTAACATGCGGAACAGGGCAGTAAAATAAAGTGCTACCTCTGATTTATTAATATATGTCCAAACAAATTATGCTTTTGATTATGAGGGCACATGAATTATAAAAAAAAAAAAGATGTGCACAAATAATTAATTTATAATCAACATTATAACATTCCATTTAAAAAAAATTATTCCATGGTGAATTTATAAAGAAAACACAGGCTCAGTCTTGACAGAATTTGACTTAAATTGTGAGAAAAGTTTATTATAATAATTTAATTTTTGCAATTGGCTGTTTGCATTACTTTTTGTGTTTTTAAGTGCATGAGATAAAAGAGCACTGCATACACATCTTGCATGTATACACACGTATTATATTTGCGCATTAATTATTTGTGGGCTTTCCGTTGTTTCTAGAGCGAGAGAGTGAAACTGTGTCTGTGGTACAACTAATGTGAGAAAAGCTCATCTCTGACGGATTGCTTCGTTTGCTTTAGCGGTTCACAGATAAAAAGCTGGACTGTTCCCCAGATTACAACAAGCCAGCCGGTCATCATGTGACCGTTCCCGCAGTGAGCAGGGTCCCGGGAACCCATGCTTTCCATTCAAAAGCTTCCACGCAACTAATACTCATGAACAGGCCTTCATGCGCAGTCAGAAAAGCTCATATTTATCTTCATAACTCACCGAGCCACGGCCTTGTGCTTCTCCACAATCTGAACTCTTAAACTTTCATGACCGGGAACGTCGATAAGAGTCCAGCTGCCACCCTGCAATATCAAAAACATCCAGTGTGTTATTTAGCCAATTAAATCTTATGTTTAAAATCCACTCAGGTGCCTCATAACATCTAACGCACACAGCTTACCCGGTCATCTTTGCTCTTGTATGTGGCGCTGCTCTCTGTGATGGACGTCTGAGTCCTTACAAACTTCCCTAGTAATAACTGGGAAAACACTGCAGATCATTTCCAGTCTAATGACTGTGTGCCGCAAGAGTAAGCAAGCTTGTGTTGTGTAATATTTTCCTTTACTCACTCGAGTGAACAGAAGAGTTTTCCCGGAGTCACAGAGTCCCAGCAGCAGCACAGCGTTCCTGGCTTTACTGGAGCCCCAGAAATTCCCAAAGAACACTAAGATTTCAGAAAAAGAACATGTGTGTGTGTGTGATGTCAGGAAAGTGTCAACCATAAAAGCGGATGCATCATATCAACAGGTCACTGTAATATAAAACAGTGTTTCGCTTCAGAAATTAAGAACTTTTTACTATGAAAGGACTTAAAGGGGTCATATGATGCTGCTAAAAAGAACATTATTTTGTGTATTTGGTGTAATGAAATGTGTTTATGCGGTTTAAGGTTCAAAAAACACATTATTGTCCACATACTGTACATTATTGTTTCTCCTCTATGCCCCGCCTTTCTGAAACGTGTCGATTTGTACAAAGCTCATCGGTCTGAAAAGCGAGGTGTGCTGTGATTGGCCAGCTATCCAGTGCGTTGTGATTGGCCGAATACCTCAAGCGTGTGACAGAAATGTTACGCCCCTCACCATACTGTGATGATGCCCTGTGCGGCCGGAGCGAGAGAAAGAACAACTGAAATCGCATCATATGACCCTTTTAAGTGCCGTCAGACAAGAAATGTTACAAAATGTTTCACAGTGTGGCTATTATGGGATGCCACTCAATTACAGTACCGCTAAAAGTGAAGCACTTCAGGAAGAGACTGCTGTAAAGGGAGAATATTTACAATAAACAATGGCATGAAAAGTTAATTTTCTAATTCTTCTTCAGTATTGGTGTTAGCTGTAACACAGCCCTTGCTCAAGCAGCGTTACACTTGTGCAGTCTGCAGGTATGTGATTTCAAGAGTCTTCTCCAGTGAAGCTAAGCTTTGGTCTGAAGCTCTGCATCTTCATGTAATCCCAGTGATAGAGAGATCAGATCATCTGTTAGAAGACTGCTTGTTCATACTTTATTATCATTATTATTGGGATTTGAACCCTTGTAAATGCCTCAAATATTTTTGTGAAACATCTAATGTGTCCAAGACACGTGCACAGTCAAGATGCAAACAATAATAATAGTTATGCTGGCTACCTCTAATAACGTCTTGTATGAATGTTTGCTTTGATATGACAATAACGCTGCTTAACGCTTACCGACAGTGAGAACCACGAGCGCTAAAGCCAGGAATATCCCGAGGATGAAGACGGCTTCTTCACTCTGAATCTCTTTCAGGAAGCTCTCCATGAACTGCTCCTCAGAGAAGTCCTGCAGATCCAGATGAATCTTCTCGTCCATGTTTGTTTGACCAGGCGGAAGACAGCGGAAGTGAACGACACGTGTGCTAACTTCAGAGACCGCGAACTTCCGCGTTCTACTGTGGTGACGGCTGACCTCATGAATATTAATGAGCATGCGCGGTCGTTACTGGCCAATCTGCCTGGAGGGTTGAGGTGCGGAAATAATTCATATTAATGAGCTAACCTTTGCCATAGTAGTGTTCGTTCAGCTGACCATGGAAATAGAATGTTTTTTTTTTTTACCATATTTTAGAAATAGAATAAGTTGACACAAGTTACAATGACAAATTAACATAAAACGGGTCGGCCCGTAATTTACTTTTTTTTTTTTTTTAGATAAATATACATATTGTGTTTCCTCGTGTATTTTCAATTCAATGTCTCTGTAATTTTTAATCGCACTTTTTGTTTAATGCACAAACGTTGTGAGTTTTGAATCGTCTGGATGAGAGTCCGGTAGGAAACGGCATCGTTTGCAGTGTTGCCAAGTCCGCGGTTTTCCCGCGGGGTGGGCTCCTTTAACACTGTCGCCGCGGGTTGAAGCGACCACAATAACGTGATATTTTACCAGGGGAACCCCGCCCCCAAAAAAAGGCCGTTTATTTTACCCCAGCCGAACGTGCTTTTTAACGGGGGACCCCCTTCGAAACACGACTGTTTCTGATAAGAAGTGTGCGCTGCAAACATGATCGTTTCTGTCCAGTCTGCTGGTTTTATCGTGTTTAACCACAGCTGTCGTCGGTTTTGTGTCTGGCAGTGGCAGCAGATATGCGATCAGATGTCTAATTTGAGGCTGATTCTGCAGATTCTGGCAGCCAACATCACAACAAGATGATATTTTAAGCTCCTTAGCCGAACCTGCGCTGGTTTGAATGGGCCGCCTCCAGCTAGCGCTGTGACGTCGCTGACCCTAGTTACCTGTGGTTGGCCTGGCCATGCGTCACTCAGAACACAACAGGCCAATCAGAAGAGAGGCTCATGAATATTAATTAGACAGGCCAAAATCGACCCGTTCTCAGCAGAGCTCCTGAGAGAGGAGCTGTAACAATATATTGAGATGGTTTTTGGTTATATTTTGGTCTTATACAGCAAATATATATTCTTAAGGACATCAAAACCTAAAATAAAACTCCAGAAAGGTGTAAAATATGGGACCTTTAAGATATCCTGCAAACTGTGTGCAAAATATGAAAACAAATATGAATTTAGAGTATGCATTTTTTGCAGTGTGTATGTCAAGTCAATTCTAACTTCAGGTTTGTACCTCTAATACATAATAGAGTTATATAGATCAGTGGTTTATGCGTCTGTAAATAAAGACAGACATGTGAGAGCAGTGTTTTCTTATCTGATTCTGCCAGGGATGGGGTTTTTTTAGGAAGAGGCAAGAGAGACAGTGCCTCCTAAAAAAACATATTACAGAATAAACCACAGTACAAAAACAAAACCATACAAGTATTATGAAATATGACAAAATTGTATGCATCACTTATCAGCACAAAGATCCCAGGGTTCCTGCAGGTTATAAAAAGTCTTAAATTATATAAGAAAAGCATTACATTTTCTTAAATTTGGGGACGGAAAAGCTTATACTTTGTTGTAATAAACAGAACATTAATTGCATTGTTAATGTAAACATACGAAGCAGAATTGTGTTGGTTGTTGTTTTCTTGATAGTGTAAGCAGTGGTAATGTATTTAGCCTAACTAGATCTATGAGTTGTGAGTTCATCTGCTCTAACCGTGACTCGTTGTCTTTCAGAGAGAGCTGGACGGCGCCGCCACACTGCTGGCCGGCCGGCAGGATGACAGCGAGCAGTCCAGGAAAAAACTCATCGACCAGAGCCGCGACTTTAAGAAGAACACGCCAGAGGTGAGTTATGTTTCTAAGCTCTCTTTCATTCAGGTGTGAGGCTCTGGGATACGCTCCTCCCTAGCAGTCCAGCACACCAGCA